GCAGAGCCCAGGGCACTGCGGGTGCCGGGGCTCCGCTCCTGCTGAGGAAACCAAGCGCCAGCACTGAACAGAGAACTGATTATCCCGGGCTCAGAGAGATTGTGCTGGGCACACATGAAAGTTACACAGCACATCCAAGTGTCCCATTTAGAAGGCTGCCCATGAGAACACCAGCCTGCAGCTGTATGGGCTGTGATGAAATTCAGCGTCACTTCCTGCAGAACATCACTGCAGCAACAGTGGGGGTTTTTTGCTCCAGGACAAACACCTTCTTGGAAACTGTTAAGGTTTCTTCTATTTTCTCCCTTATGAAAGGGGAAGATATTTAATGAATTTTAAAGTTGGCACTGAATAATATCCCAATTAACAACACTGAAATCCCTCATGTGTATGTTTCCTAAATAATACTGGAACATGCCAGAAAGAAATAAGATAATACTGATCATGTCCACAATATGCTAAATAAGCAACTTCAAGTTTGCTTAGAAATTGCTGATAACTAAGCAAGCTTAATAGAAATAACTGCTTAAAAGACTTAAGAACTGCTTAACAGAAAATCTATTTGAATTTACACTTATCAAATGACAGCCTAAAATTAAGAGAAAAAGGGAAGATGACATTTTTTAATGCATTAAGACAAAGTTGCTTCTCCTCTATTTCACACAATAATGTAACTCTACAGATAAACACAACACTATAACCACCTTCAAATGCTTTCATAAAAACTCTTTGGATTCTTGGTCCTGCAAACTCAGCTCTGTTTTGAAATGGAAAACAATTCTATTTCTAGGTTAATGATGAATGATTTTTCTCAGCTGAAACCTGGAACCAAACTTCCATCATGCTATATAAAATATCATCCAGCTGACTTGTATGGGGTTTCTGTAGGAAAGAGTCACTCTGCAAGTCTGATTCATATCCTACATGAATTTGTACATTAGATTAATACATTTCAAACATTCACACAGTTTTAGATTAGAGTAGTGATATCAGAAACATCTAAATTCCTCTTAAAATGATTTAGAAATGTCAGTGCTGATCAATAGATGTGCTCTCGTGTGCAGAGGAGTAAAAACACATACTCGAACCCAAGATTCTCCAGTTTCTGAACTGTTATCTCCAAGAGAGTAAACCTCTAGAGTACATCTCCACATGACACATTTATCTAAAGTGGCTGCACACATATAATGACTGCTTTTGTTTAGTGATCATGGTCATTTTGAGTTTGTTTAAATACTGCAGCCCAATGCTTATAAACTAATCCCAGACCATTTTGAAATGCTTCAAAGCTTTTAGCGGGGAACCTCTTGCATAGGCTTTGCAGATGAAGCTGACCACAGTTCACTGGAACCAGCCAGCTCAGATAAGTAAGATGAAAGCAGACATTTCCTGAAAATATCTTGAAAGCTTTCCATTAGTCTGTGCCAGGGGTATACACTAAAAACAGAAAGTGCCCATGCTTGTATAGCAACCAATCCTCCCACTGCTTTCTCCATTCTTTCTTGAACTACTGTATTTATATCTATTTATCTGCTTAATTTGGTATCTTAACAAGTTTTTTGGCAGAAAAAGATGCAACTTCTGCATTCCAGTTTACAATAAATTATAAAGCAGCTATTACGAGAACAAAAAATTCTATTTAACATACTAAATGATGTAACAGGAAGAGACCAAAATCAACCAATGCTAAAATTACTACAGATTACAAATAAGTAAAAAATTTGATGTACAGATAATTTTTAAGAGTCACCCACTCCACGACAGGCATGAATACCACTGTTTGAACATAAAGCTCTGGCTGTCAAAGTGTACTCTAACAAGGTCGATTCAGCATTGCTGAATGTGCCATACTCACAGGAGTGCCTCAGGCTAGATTTTCAATAAAGGCAGAGACTGGCTGTGTTCATATTTTATACAATAATTTGATTGAATAAAAACAACTGTTCCCTAGGAACATGAAATACTCCACTACTGAAATTGCCAACATTTTATACTTTGAGACATGTCACACTGTCCAGTTCCAGGCACTTTATTTCAATGAATGAGAAGCCCAGGTTTCTTTCAGTAGAATCAGAAGACTCAAGGGCACATAAGTACTTTCAGCAGCTTTTCAAAGGCATGCAGACTATGAAGTATGCCTAGGGTTTAATTTAAGCACCAAAACTAGGCATTACTGATATCCATCATGGTGTATCCTCCAAACAGTTAATATGCACACTCAAACAAAGAGAGGAGAGCACAACCATACCATAACACACTGGAATTCAATACAGCCATAATGCTAACAGTTATTCTGTCCAGTACCTCACCACAAAAAGGGTTGGGGCACTCTGAAAGTGCTCTGTGAAGTTAAGAACACCAAGTCCTCAGCACACACTAGCCATATATGTTTGAGAAGGAAGTGGTGAGCCACAACACTGATGCACAAAATAGGGTGCAAGCGAAGTCCAACAGTTGCTACTTGAAACAAAACAACTGTGCCCCCTTTAATACAAAACAGAAAATACCTGAAGTCTTAGATTTTTTTGAGGTATACCTTGAAACTCATGCTCACTCTGCCTTCTTGCAATCCCTGCACCCTGGGGCAGCTGTAGCATGGTGTGGCACCCACCTGGGAACAGCAAGCATTACCCTCTACCAGGGTGCTGCTTATGCAGCTTTACTGGGTAGTGTTAGCAGTGAAATGGTTGTGGAAGCAACAGAAATATGATATGTCATACCTATGTCTGAAACCAGGACAAGACCTGTGAATAAATGTGAAAGTGTGGCTGAAGCTACCAAAGACCCCCTCTGACTCAGGTCCCACACAACTGTATGATCTAATTAACAGGAGATGTGCTAAAATGTGCATAATGTCTCAGTACAACTAAGGGAGAAGACTTAAATAGGGTGCAGTTCTTTTTCTGAAAATTATTAGTAATATATGACAAGTTCCTTGGCAGACTGTATGAAGTGAGAAAGGGCCTGAGTGAGAATCTGTGAGGGGCTGTCCCCATCCTCAGTACCCTTTCCCTGCACAGTCCTAGGCTTCCACTAAATTCTAGTTCTAGTCCACAGGCTTCCACTAAATTCTCAAGCTTGATTAGAATTTCCAAATAATTAAATGTTCTGCTTTAATCTTTCTGGAAATAATGTAAGATGCATCACCTTATTAGAGGAATCTTAACACTCATTCTATCCCAGCTACATTCTTCCACATTCTCTCCTAAGAGGCAGCCGAGAGAAGTTATTAAAAATCTCAAGATCATGACCTTGCAAGAACCTTAAAATAAGCAGAAATCAGCAGCGGTTTTATTCATGATTTCACTAATATTATAAATAAAATTTACTCTTTTTAGTGATCAAATGTAATTAATTTCTTTAGGGATAGAACTTTAATAAGCAAAAGTAAAGAGAGACTTGGTTCTCTGCTTATACTGATTGCCACCAGGACTGCCTACTACTTGTATAACATTTTAAAGCAGCTGTAAAACAATCATTACTTATGTAAACATTTACAGCTCATCATATGCAGAGACCAGCTACATATTTTAACTTCTGATCAAAGAGAGACACCATTTCCTTGGCTGTACAGAAACTACTTGAAAAATTCATAAGATCTGTTTCACAAATTACCAATTCAACCATAAGAATATATAGTAAAAATGACAAAAGATTTGTTCTTATAGTTGATAAAAAATTTATGCCAAGGCATTCAAGTAAAGTTACTTTCTGTGTTCTGATTTAATGAATCATTTGAGCGGTATCTGGCTGGGTGACACAGATGTAGGGCTCGCTGAAGCCTGCTCTAATGCCTGCTGGTACCATCTTCCTTGGGACAGCACAGCCAGAACAATGTGTCAGACTGAAGTAAGATCAAGGAAAGTGCGTGCAGGGCTGGGCGTGCCACGAGGCTGGCCCACAGTACTGCCTGACCTGTGAATGGCTCTGAGCAGCTCTCTGTCCCACAGGCTCCAGTGACCCAGGAAGCCCAAAAGCAGCAGCGCAGTCATGAACACACTCAGAAATAAAGATTTGTGCAATCTCGTATTTCAAGCTCAAGACATACAAAGATTGGTTGATGGTTTAACCCTAATGGAAGGCAGAGCCTGACACTGTGAAACCACCAGTGATTTCTTAAACATTTAACATTAGTTCACCTTTTAATACAAATTTGTGTGCCTTTAACACACTGCAAAGTTTGTGTCTTTAACTTCAGAAAAATACATGAATTTGCAAAATACAAATTAAGGAACTCACTTGATACATATGAGTACAGCTTTTACAGATCGTGCTTCTGTGTAGGAGTTTACTGAAAGACACTGTAATACAATCAGGCTTCCCATTAGGGAAATCATTGTAAAGAATTTAATTCTACAGTAAGTAAAACAAAGCTAAGGAGGACTGTAAGCACTGTGGTACTTAACCAACAAAGCTAATCCTCATAAAAATAAACTACTGGAATCTAGTATTCCTTGGGAGGAATTCTGCTGCTAAAAGAGATTTCCCTTCTAAAGGAAGTGTGGTAGAATACTTTTACCTATTTAGAAGCACACATATCTTTATGGAAATAATTTGAGTTTAATTATAAAAGTGAAACCTTTTAAGAAATTAGAAGCAAAATGAGAAATGAAAAGCCTAAGAGTTATGCCAAATCCAAATAATACAATATACATGTCATTTTGTCCTAATGCCAGAGAGCAGAACAATGTATGTCAGCAGCAAATGGAAGAGGGTGAATTATACTCCTACCTCATCCTGCAAGGCCTCTTTAAAACCCCCTAAAGCTTAGCTCTTCTTTTTTCTTAATATAAATTTGTCTATTGATAGCATTTGATGCAACGGTGAGGATTCTGTTTTCTCAAGAAAATTTTGTTCATTTTTATGAAAGAAATATTTCTGTTGATTCCACAGTTAGTTCCATGAAATCTTTCTTTTCTTTTACCTGAAAATTACATCTTGTTCCAATAGGCTAATAAGACAGTTGCACATAAGAATATTTGACATTTAAGGGTACTTACACAGATAACAAAACAATAGCAATGAGAGTCCATTCAGGCATTTTGTGAATAATATTTCTGTTTGTTAACCTGAAAAATAATTTTTAAAAGGTCAGTACATTTAAAAATAAAAGTAAGCAGATTTTAACAGCTCAATTTTAAGCCTACCATGAATACACTGGGTTATAAAGAAGCAGTTACAGCTGTATCTGAGCTATTCACCAGCCCTTAAGTTTCTGTCATCCTCTAATGGAGAAATTGTAGAATTGTCAATGTCCCCTTTTTTATATGAAAGTGGGATGGGAAGACTGAACAGAAGCAATTGCTTTTAAATTGCTCACAAACAGTTCTGGCTGCTGTGAGGGCCCAGCTCTCACTCAAAGCCCTGGGAAATTCTCCAGATCTGACAAGAGTTTCTGAAAAGATGGACCTTCCTACACTTAGTTTCCCTCCTGTTGGCTTCAGATCCAGATTTGCTGTAAAAGCTGATGGACACAGACTGAATTTTATAAGGTGGCAGTGACAATTCTCTGATGAGTCTTGTTTTTAAAATGGAAATCCAGAATTCTAACTTATGCAATGGCAGCCAGAGCAAATATAAGAGCCATAGAAATATAAATGAGGTGTGAATAAAGAACCACATAGGTGTTCAAGTGCTGCTGCACTGGATACCAGCTGACTCCTTTGGCTGAACTGCCTAAAAAACTGGATGTGCTTTAAGTCAAGTACTAATCTGTGTTAAAACAATTCATCTGTGAATTGCTGTCTCAAATTAGGCACAACCCTTGGTATTCAAAACAAGCAATTTCGTAGAAAAGTCACAGTCAAAAATGAAGCTGTGGCTAAGCAGGCACTCAAAAGAGCCAGCAGAATTATTTGTATTCAGAAATATGGAACCATCCAACAGATCAGCTGAGGGGCAAGTGCCTCCCTATGTTTGCTTCCTCCTTGCTTTCAGTTTCCCTTCCACGACCTTGTACAAATTCAGATCCAGAATGAAGATACCCTGTCACTCACAGCCACTCCTACAGGCACTGCTGAGGATGGTTCATTTCCAGCAAGCTCCTATCTGGCAAAAAATTCAAATCCAGGGTTTTCTTCCTCAGTAAGATTACTTAAAAAAAATTACTTTGGGCAAGCGTATAGTTAACCAAAAAAACAGAAAAAATACTAAAATTTGAGAAAGGAGAACTATTTGTAGCTGTCATTGTTAAAATTCAAATTCTAATAAGTAATTTCCTAAAATTATATTCAAAATGGTCCTTAAAATGTAGTTATCAGTAAGATCATTTATAGTATCGGTCTGCATTTCTCTATTTCAGAAAGATACTAAAAATTAATAAAATAAATCTGTAATGAGCAAAGCAATATTATCCCATTTTTATCCTCAAATCTTCAAGTCTTCAAACCAAAATACAATACTGAAGCAATAATTACTCAAGTAGTGTCTCAACAGTCTGAGTTTTGTTCAATTATGAAAGGAAAAACAGCATTTTGCTCTACATACAAAGGAATTGTCACCAGAACCAAGAGTTCTGGCAAATACTGATTGTATTTGTTATTAAAAGATTCATTTTAGCAATTATTATTTGAAATAGGTAATGGATTTAGCTGGCAACAAAATTTATACCTGGTAAACTGTTACATTTTTCTGGCTACAGAATAAGAGGCAAAACAAAGGCTGAACATCTTGACTCAACACTGATGAAAGTGATAAACACTACCAAGAAATGCCTGATGGAATCATCTTGACAGGCAATTCATATGTAACATTCCAGTTAATCTGTTATGATGAGACATAATGAAAGAGACAGCTCCAGGCCACCTGGGGAAACTCTGTCAAATAGAGAAAGCAGCTTTATTTCAATGCTTTACAAGGAGTTTTTATTGATTAGAGCACAGGAAGGTGTCATTCTTGTACACAAACTGAGAGATGCAGTTATTTGTGTCAATTAACTCCTATTCAATGTTAGTATTGATTGGCAAGGTCTGAACACTAGTCATTGCCATCAATATGCTATTTCTAAAGGAGGCAGTCAAAAGACACAGATAACCAGCAGGGCACAGCAGTATGGATCTGCTGATGTACTGCAGTCACTGCACTGCATCAACAGTCAGGCTTCTGCAACTGAGTAACCTCTCAGTACAGCACCTGTCCTAAAACACTTGTGCAGCTGGAAAAAATAACATTTCAGAGAGATCAGAGTAAAGCAAGCAACCTACAGGTGTGAAGCCTTAAATAATAAGGAGCAGTGGAAGGGCAGTCACTTTCAAACAAGCTCTGTGTCAACACCAAGGCCTCTGAAGAGCAAAGCTTTCTGAAAACAGGGAACTGCTGGGCCTCTGTAGAAATGGTTCATTAATTCTTTGTCTTGCCTCTAGCCAAAACTGTTACCTCAGAACAATCCATGAAAGAGGTCACTAGATTTCTGTCCTAAAAATAGAATGTGGAAATGTTGAAACTGTACAAAACTTTGTGTGTGTGATTTTAGTTTGGCAGTGAAATCTTTTCTGTTAAAGAGTTTGGCCAAATTCTCCCTCACCTACCTAGAGAAAGAAAACAATATGCAATTTCCCAAAATGGAATGTGCCCACTTTCTTGGCCTGTGCAGGGCAGGATACACGAGCTAGGAAAGCTGGAAGATCCCAAATAGCTGTGTGGGTTGCTCAGTTGCTGCTTTGTGGGTCTTGTGTTCCCTCCAGCAGGACACATCGTGGCCACCCAGCAGGACCACGCGGATTCCACACTGTGAGGGAGCCTGACTGAGCACCTGGATCCAAGGGGCACAAACTTCCAGGATAAAGGACTGAAGAGTAAGATGCATAAAAACTCCATCTCAAATGACCTCCTGATAACTGGTTAGTGCCCAGCCTGCAAAGCAAGGGAACTCAATAGGGGAACTGTAGGAATCCAGAGTAAATACAAACAGTAAACCCAGCATCTTTGCAAACACAGCAGCCTCTGCTTCCTCCATCCAGATTCCCAGGGAGGAGCATATACAGCTGCAGTTCAAGGATCTGTCCATTCTGTAAATCTGCAAACTGCCTTCATGGCATTAGGATGCAAAGCTGTGACTTTAGGGGATCTCAGCTACCTGTATTTTTTCCAAAACTTGCAGGAAGATGAGTGACTTTAACTAACAAAGGGCAGCACAGGCAAATACTGAAGCATATATTGTTTTTCTTTAGGTTTCAACCTGACCAATTTAACCATAAAAGGGAGCTTTTCTACCTCCTGGAAAACAGCAACATATTTACATACTGTAATATCATTTAGTTTGATTACAGCCAGCAAAAATAAGTTACTATTCAACCTTAGGCTTCTTTTGAGAAAAGTCTAATTACTTGAGAAAACATCACGAAATCCTGATACTCCCCTACTTCCACGCAGAACTTCATCTGTGACCAAGTACCACTGATTAACTTGAAACTCAGAACTTAAAGTTCCACTTAACAAGTGTAATAGGTAAAATAGGTATAAATAAGTGTATATACCAGAGAATATATATTCAGGATACATACTTAAAAGCTAAAAGACTGTCTTGGACACATGATAAAATCGAGTTGTAACAAGATGTTTTGAACACATCTCACATCTGATTCATTGGTAGAGTTCAATATCAATGATAAGCTCCATAATGGGAATTAAAATACTTGCAACCATAAAATACAGATGGAATCCTATTTTTAAAATGAAGTATTATGCCTTAAAAAAACCCAACCATACATTCAAAATCATTTATCCTCAATTTATATATAAGAAGCTAATTTTCTCTGGATCTTTTAACAAAGTGCCCTTACACACTCTGGAGAATTATTTGACATCTCAGTTTTCGTAACAAAAGCTTACAGGCACTGAGGGACTTTGTTTGGGAAGAGCTCTAACCATTCTAAAACGTCTCTTGAGATCTCTCTAGTGTGTTTCTTAGCAGTGGTGATTGAATAAATGCTGCCCAAAGGAGGCTGAACTGCAAGTGTTCCTTTAAAAACCAATGGAGCTGAAAATTGTTGTTGCTTAGTTCACCACATGCTCTTTTACCCTTCTTCAGCTAAGCTCTACTACAGCCAAGTGTTTTACCTACTACCCTTCTTGCCAGGCTCTTCAGCCTGAACTATCTTCAGTACAAAAAGCAGGAAAGAGCACCAGCATTTATCAGTGATCCTCTATTGTCATTAAGCATTTGAACCACATTAACAAAGTAACATTTGAATTTCTACACTTTGTAAATACAAATACCATTTAAAATTCATCCCACATCTCCCTGCTAAAGCACTCAACCCAAAACTTAAGAGACTACTAATATTAAATAAACCTACATACCAAATTGGTGATTCAAGTCTATGCCTTCCTCTTAATATCCATGAGCTAGCTCTTGTGTTCCAACAATCAGTAATGCAAGACAGAAAAAGGGCCCAAAGGTTTTTATTTATTCTTCCCTATTTCCTGTATTTTTGTATTATTTTGCTATCAGCGACAACAAAACTCCATTTATTTTGAGATATATTATATGAAGGCTTTTAAAATTCTTGTACAGAGCCCACAAATGTCTTTAACAACCCCCCACCCAGATTCCTGAATTTCTAAGCAGCTGATCTGGAATCTTCACAGTAAGAGAACCCCAAGAAGTTGCTACCATAACCTTCAACTTACTTCCTAACAAAAATGATACAAAAAATAAAATCACAAAGTGTTATCTAAGAGATCAAAACAGATTAGAGGAGACCTTTAAATTATGATGAACTACTGTTGCATGAACCAGGAATTGGGTTAAAGACCAAGTAAATTTGATTTGGTTCTATTCTGTAAAGCCACAAGTGTGTGTGCATATACATACATGTACATATAGGTGTTTTAGAAGTCTGTTTTGGTTTCAAGTCTCATTTGCTATAAACCACTGAAAACCTTATATTCATGCCCCATTGTCTCTGAAGAGCAAAAGTAATTTGAGAACCTCCAGGCCTTCTTAGACAATCAATCATTAAAAAGTAGTTTGAAAGACACCAAATGTAGTTTCTCTACTTTTATCAATCCACAAGCTAAAGTGACTATTAAGCATTTAAACTGCAAAGCAATAAAACTGTTTTAAGACACAAAGATCTTACTCAAATAATAGCTATCTATACACTATATGCAAAAACATTTTCACTGGTTTCAGTGGTGTTGTTAAGAGAAAAGGCGAGTCAGAACTTAAAAGACTGCAATCACAGAAACAAATTCAAACAGTATCAATGTCTTTATTTAAAAGAGATCATGCACAGATGAGATGCACAGTTACCAGAAAGGAAGAGGGAATCTTCCACAGTAAGAAATCTTGCAGAGAGACATCTGTGTTTTAGTGGCGTCCTTCCAGACACGGGGTAAGTTGTAAGAAATTGGGTAGAGCTGGGTTTCTACTCACCAAAGCCCAGACTCCTTGTGGCAAATGCTACATGAATGAGTTTTGGAAAATATACATGTAAACCTCATACAGGCTGAGGATGTGCGAGGGAGGTCTCAAGAATGACAATGAACACACAGTTAGCAGCTGCTATTGCTCTTTTTCTGACCATACTTGAGGCTGAAGGACACAATCTAGGCCCAGGCTATGAGAGTTGTCTCCCAAAGAAAACCTAAGAATGTTCAGAGAAGTTACCATTCTGTTTTGCCTCCTCCTTTATCTCACTGTTTCCAAATACTGTCTTTAGTCCTACTGACTAACCTGTGGTGATGAAAAGTGCCCACTAGATCTTCTTCCCTTTGAGATCAGGAACAAGACAGATCCAACTGACTCTAGAAGTTACTGGTAAAAATTATTAATCAGATTTAAGCCATTTAGTCCAGCTGCAGGAAGCCAAGGCAAAAGAAAGGGACAGATCTCAGAAACTCACGCTTAATAGGAGGTGACGAGGTAGCAGAACCTTTAAAAGACTCACCAGCATCCTCCAGAGACCACTGGCCTAGTTTTTAAAAATCTACAAATACTCCTGGTGACCTAGCCACTGTCAGGAGCAGGGAAAGGGCTGACTTGTTAGTCCACAGGGAATGTGACATTACCTACATGAACACGCAGCAAGAGAAGGGGAGATCTGCAATAGGGCCCTCCTCTCTGTGCCAAATCACAAATCATTCAACTGCATGTTTGATTCATCCATTTATAAAAATCTCTAAGTAAAGACCAATACTCACCTGAAAGTTTTGACAAGATTTTTTAGCTCTGTGTAAACATCACCTGAAGCAATCTGAAGAGGACCCAAAACTGCAGATAATCTAGAAGGCAAAAGACACCAGTCAATATACATTTTCCTCTCTTTCTCATTTCTTCTGAAGCAGGATTTCCACCAAAGCTTATCAAGGTTAGTAAAAAGGAAAAGAGATTGACTTCTGTGCAGCAGACCAGGCCTATCGTTTTCATTTCAGCTCTCCCTGTGCACTGGCTGGGCCAACACCTTCACAACCGCTTGTTAAAAATAAGCAGCTCTAGTTCTGTGTGAATGTGGAGATTTAAATATAATTCTACATACATCTACTTACTAGTTTCACCTTTCAGTTCTGAAAAAGTATTTTTACAATTATGAGGATTAGAACTACAGGCCTTATACATTTTTTGAAGGTTTATATTTACTTGGCTCAAAAATAACAATACAAAAGGAAGCTGCATATCTACATGGGGTATTCACACATAATATACCTGCTAACCTCAGACTCACACAGATGCAACAGAAATGTCAGTCCACTGTGAGCTTGGCAGATGAAATCTAGATGATAGTTACCAGAAAATTTCAAAAGAAAGAAATAGACAGGTTTCCTCCTTACTTATCTGTGCATAAAAAGGATAGACCGCACAAACTGCACATACTCTCTAACTAGTTGTCAGGATTCCCAAATGATGGAAATAACATCCTTTGTTTTTCACATTTAGGATTAAACTTTTGCCTCTATTTACTGTTAAATAGTTAAAATTCTCTTGTATTTGAATATCCAGTGATTTGCACTTATATGTACATAACACTTACTGCATCAGTATTCTGGAAGACTGCATATTTTACAAAAACTGAACACAGGGTTCTTATGATGCTGAGCATATTTATTGCTTTATCACAATGAAAATTATTTCTTGATTGTAACAGAACAACAGAACAAACCAAAAAAATTGAAAAAAATCGACATTTACAGACAAGACACTTGGGGGATGGTTTGATTTCATGGTTGTGGCCTATCCACACATGGTGCAGGTAGAGAAAAACAGAAAGGATTTTCCTTTTATTTTGGCAAGGATGGGGGGCTTGGTTGTGAGGTTTTAAGTTAAAAAAAAGGCTTCTGCAAAGCCTAGTTTGGCTAGGTAACACAAACTACAATGACAGAAAAGTAAATACCACTACCAAAGCCAACAGAATGATGACCTTCAAACTCATTTATCTGCACTGCCTTGACAATGAGAATATTTTCAAGGTTCTCCCAACTTTGACAGATTCATAATTCTAACAGCTACATCAGAAATGCCTTAATCTCTTTTGTGACTCCAAAGCCCTTTGATGCATATGAAGAAGGTCTGATGTTTGCAAAGCTTTAAGATCCAATTGTGAGGGCCTTTAGTGGTTGTAGCTGGGGGCAGACTGATACCAGCCATCCAAGCACGCATTACAAACTTTTTCTTTGTATGACATATCTTAAACAAGGATTTGTTTACAAGTAACAGTATGCTTAATGTAAAAGACAAATATTTGAACTCTTCTCAATCAATTTCAAGTTTTTCAGTCTAAATGTAAGCAGTTGGTAGCTACAGACTGTGCAAACTGGCACTTACAACTGGACTGCAGCTGGCTGTTGCAGAAATAAGTAAGTCCTTTAGGGCAATAATGGGCTTAAGTTATGACTAGGGCCATCTAGAAAGAGCCAGGCCCATTCTTGGATGTGTTACTTAAAACAATGATGAACAAGCACCAACTTCAGACTGACATTCATCAAAGTAAAGGGTACTTACGCTTTTCTCAGTTTTTCAAGGACAATTCGCTTCCTAATCTGCATTTGTGCATTTGAATCAACAAGTGGGAAGGTGAGATCTTCCTGCTGATCATCCTGTATTACACAAGAAATTTTAACAGCTATAACCTAGTGTTTAACTGAAGTCAGTACATCAAAAAAGTCACAGATAATCAATAAATATTTAAACATTAAATAACTTTTATCTCTGAAAAAAAACCAACCAAACTCCTTTTTAATGGGCAGACACTTGCATAATCTGATGCAACATAAGTATGCAGCTAATGGAATTTTCTCTTTCTCTATGAGAGATACTTATCCACTTATGACAGCAGAAACAAAGTACTAATTCTTTGAAGGTCTATTCAGGCTTCATAGAGCCTCCACACTGTTCCAGCAGACACTTACTCTGTCTTTGCTGGGATGCTCCCCTTCCTGTGCTTGTGTCGCTGCCTCCTCAGCCAAGACGTACCTTCCTTTATAGAACTCTTTTACCCGCAGTTCTAGGAGCTCTGTTTCTTCTTTTAGCTTTTCATAACTAGGCACAGGCTTAACTATTCCACTTGAGCCTGTGAAAGGTAAAGAGAAGTTCAAACTGTTTTCAGACTCCCCTACAGCAACAGTGCTGAGATCTTCAGGTGTATCTAAGTCATCCTCATCAAGTTCTTCAGTCTCCTGGCTGACAGATGCTATGCACTCTGATGAGCACAAAGAAGTATAGTTTGGGCCATAGAGAAATTTTAAAGTTTCCTCAGTTCTCCATTCCATAAGTGTTTGCCTAAGTACTTCTAGTAAACTGCCTTTGGAATTAACTGGATGCCTCAGTTCAGGGTTTTTATGTTCTGTTGACTTAGCTAATGTTCTTTTAAGATGTTCTGCTCCTCTTTTGCTCACACCTAGAAAAACTATCTGTGATCCATATGTATTTTCAGAGATTTCTGAAGCACTTGATTTCCCAGGAGCAGTATTGTCTGAAGGTGGTGCAGTTACTTCATTATGAACAGAGCAAGCAGGTCTTTCTTCCTGAGTGTCTAATTTACAATGAGAGAGTTGTTCAGTGGCTTCTGCCACATCTGCATCTTCAGTTTTAGGGCTGGCATGGACTTTCTGAGCAGGCTTCTTTTTGAGAATGCTTTTTCTGTGCAATTGCTGTGCAAAATTGGCTGAACTTGACTGACTTCCTGGTAGGACAGAGGAAATAAATTCTTGTTCAGTATCAGTACTGCTGTCACTGGCTGTGTCATGAGAACGAGATTCACATGGATCTGAAGATATCCTAGGATTTTCAATGTCAGATGCTTTAATTACTTCATCACGTAGTTTCACCTCTTCTCCAGACTGTCCACTACAAAAGAAAACACAAATCATCAGTGAAATAAGAAATGGCTATTATCTGCAATAGCTTCTATTCTCGTGTAAGAATGATAAACAAAGCATTTCCCCCCTTATAGCAGAAGTGTAACTTTTTGCTTTAAGAATCACGTGCTCTTCTAAAAGTCTTCTTGAACTCTAAGAGTTGTACTATTCTACAATCAAAATGACAAGCATAGAGACTATTTAGAGAAGTGAGTTCTCAGTTGATTATTGGTAGTTAGAAAAGAACAGTATAAACAAAATATTATTAAAGACAGAACAATGTCAGACTTAGCATAATGAATAATGCAATTTTTAAATGAAGACAGGCATGTTAACATATGTAGGAATATAGTACCCTTAAATCAGGGGGACAGCTGAGCTGTTTCAGCATATGTAAGTTTGCCACCTAATGGCAACGTGTTGCTAAAGAAAACAAACAGAAAGTGCTCAGTGCACAGCAAGGTACAGCGAGATGACAGAGTAGCGTGATTTCATTTTGGCTCATATAGACCTTGGAGATTAAGAAGTACGGAGGCTTTCATCACATATAATTGGCACAATTTTCTTTATAAAGAATAGATGGCATAAAATATTCAAAGTACAAACAGTGTATTTGTTTCATATTTCAACAGGCTCAATTAAGACACACAATCCAAGAGCAGCTGTACACTAAATCATACAGATCAAATATGCTGGGTTAGAATCACAAAGGAAAAAAAAAGCTTTGCATAGGTTCTAGTAAGGTCTTTTTTATAACACAACAAATCAAAGATTCCCTTTGCATCTGCTATGATGCTAAATTTCTAGCTATAAGTGCATCTAACAACAAAAACAAAAATTGCTCAGTGTACCTCCGTCCCTCCTTCAGCAGCTCTATGTCGGGTGGTCTGGAAAAAAGAAAACAGAATGAACATTTTTCTGCTAAATCTATTCTCTTGAAACACACATGAATACAAAACCAGTTGAGTTTGGAAGGGACATCTGAGGATCTTCTAATCCAACACCCTCTGTTCAAAGCAGATCACCCTTTGGTCTCTTCTTCAAACAAGAGAACATGCCAAGATCCTCAAAGATCATAAGGTTCCTACAGTAAGGACAATTCTGGGCTATTTATAGGAAAATGTTCTAATTAATGTAAAAATATGAATACTCATGAAATTTTTACTTATTTTAAATTTTACTTTGTTACAAATTAGGCTGTCAAGTTATATATTTTTTTAAAGAAAATGGTTTTCAAAGGTTTCCAGAAACTAAAAATATGAATAAACAAATTCTTATGAGTTTCTTTCCAAAGCCCTACTTGCAATTAATCTACTTCTATCTACTTCTAATCTACTAGTTATGAGGCAGCCTATCAGTCCTACTCCTCTTATCCAATACCAAATGTTAAAAATCTAATGTATCCTGTGACTGAAATAAAACCTCTTAAACAGACACTAAATGCAAGTCAGTGTACTAACACCTTTCAGTATATAAAAGACCCTGCAGGAAAGCTGCACCACTCATATCAATAAACTGAATTTGGAAACTAAGATTTGGAATTTGGAAACTAAGAGAGAGTGATTTAAATTTTTAGCTCCATATAATTCTTCTTTGGAGTTTTAAGTGGAGGTTGTAGTCTTTTCTGTCAAAGGAATTTCAACTATTCTACCGTGTCAGTGTGTGCACATGTGTGTGGTTGTGCAAAGAGGTGTAGCTAGCCAAGAACTATCTGGGAGTTTGTTGGTTTGGTTTTTTGAAAAGATCACCTCCCCACCACCAACCCAGAATAAATAATTAACTATGTCAGGCATAAAAGAACTATACATTTTTGATGTGAAGAATAAAGGGAGATTTTAGAAACACTTTTCTTGACAATAGCAAAACATTATCTAAAAAGCACAGGTAAATGTAAACATTTAATGAAGAGTCAAGTTTTACCTACTAGAACACCTCAGATCTGATGAGGCTGCTCTAAAGCTCTTCTCTCACTGACCATAAATTTCATATGACAGCTATAACTCCAGCTGGTTTCTTTGCTGAAACCCAGGGACTATGAGAAGTAGCATCTTGGAGAATGAAAGCTGAGTAAATTTACTGAACAGTCTCTATGCCAGTCTTTGTTGTTCAACAGTGACACCCACTGGCTCCACTGAATATTTGCAAGCCCGTGTTTCCTAAGCTGGGAACATGGACTGCATACACTGTTCCAAAATGTTATTGCAGGAAGAACAAGACACGGGCAATCAGAAATTTAGACTGGATAAAAAACCTCTTCATGTTACACACTGCTTTCAGATGCAAGCATTCACTGTCTAAGCTTAAGATCAATGCTAAGTGCTGTGCTAAAATTAGAAAATCTCTTGTAATAGAGTAAGATTATTCCAACCTGTTTGTAAAAATTCAATCCCAGTCAGTCCATTTTAAAGTTAATAGGAGTTAACTATTATTTCTGACTAGTCAGCCCTCTAAACTAACATGGCCACGTCTGCTAAGTAGATGAGAGTAGTACTGAACCATGCCAATTTCTGTAATCCATACAGCTACAACACTTCTAAAACAAACACCATGCTAAGCTAACACGTTAACATCAGCTACCTCTGCTTCAGCTAAATCACTTTGATGTGCTGCAGCTCTTAATTACCACTGCAGATGCATAGAGAAATAATATTCTCAAAAGGTGCAATGAATGTGTAAGATTATACTTACTTTTCCTCTTCTCTCATCCACACTGGACTTTTGGAAATTTGAGCTTCAAAATATTTAGATGCTCTATAGCAAAAGTTGCTGCAAAAGCACTGGCAATGAGAGAAAGCAAGAAAACAAAACTAAGGCCAACTTTAATACATAGAAAGGTACAACACTAATTTCTTTTAATATCTGTAAAATTAAGTACCAATACTTGTTTCTTTTCCAGCCTATGGCCAGGTTTTCAGTTCATCTGAGAAACCCAACCTATCAAATAGGTCTAACCCATTCCACACAAGCCACATTTAGCTGCTTCTTTCTTCCCTATTTTTCTGCTTTCTGCACTTTTATTACACACTGAGAAGCAAATCAGTGTTGGATTCTATATAACAATAATTTTAAAAAGCCCCAATAAACCAAACTTTTCAAAGAGGAACCCATAACCCAATATGCTGTTCATACAGTTTGAAAGACATATACAATAAAATTCAGATGTCTAATAATGAAAATTTTTCTTAGCAACAGAACCTGCTATTTTGCAATGATTAGAACACCTAAAAATTTGCAGCATCTTTGAAAACCAGATTTGCAAACTTGCATCACAAGGGAAGAACACAAATCATCCCACTTCTTGTTCGAGTCTTGCCTGATTGCTTATGAAAGCAATTCCTAAAATTTTGTGTATCCCACAGTTTTAATCAGAGGAAAGGAATGCATACTAGTGACACTGAAGAAATGTGTTCTGTAACTGGAAACATTTATGTTACAGTTTAGTGTCTATGTGCCTGTAGGGGATTGTGTATCCTGTGAAACCCCAATAATGACTTTAATGCAACCACCTGTGAATAGGCTTCCAGAAAGAACCATTTTGTGGAGAATTAGGTTTTATGTTGAAAAGCCCTCAAAAAAAAAACCTAAATGTTCCCCAAAATATGTAAGATGTAACTTATACTACATTACTGCAAACTTCAGCGGCTGAAAAGGATGTGCACTTTGATCCCACTAAAGTTCACTGACTATGCTGGAGCAAAATAAAGAACACTTCACAAATGCCTTTAGCAGATCAGCTGTGCCACATTCAAACACCTATCCAAGTAAAACTTTCCGTCTTATGATTAAACTTAGAAAACCATGTATTTTGTCTCAAAGATATCATCTAGGAAGTGAAATGCACAAAAAATTTCAACAGTTTGTGAAAATTATTTTCATAAGAACCAAACCTATTTGCCTCTGAATCAAGCCACTGTATGAATGCTGTTACAAAATGCATTTCTGATGTTGCCACCATTAAACACATCCTAGAAATACACTTCTTACCATACCTTTCTTTCAGTGATATCATAAACTCTGTTCGTTTTTGTTGAGATTCTGTACTTCTGCTTTGGCACCTAAAATAATACAGTTTCAACAGCAACACTGTCAGTTCCATCAGGAGTACAGAGAAAACTTCATTCTTAATTCACATATTTGGGTATGTGCAATATATTCTATTTAACTGAACTGCATAACACAACCACCTTTTCTCTCAATTCTTCTGACATTGCATCTTCTCAGATGTAAGAAGGACAGTTTATCTTTAACCACAATCTCATTTATCAGTAAAAGGCAGCTCCATAGCTATAAGAAAACCAGTGCTGAACATAAGACAATGGAGCTGCCATGGCAAAGCTTTCCTCATATGTAAGTGCTGAGCAATTACAGATGGGTCTTTCCTTAATCCAGATCTATTTATATGCACGTGGGACTGAACTGTCAGACCCCCACAACCACCCAGACAAACCCAGAGGAACTTATGCAAACTGTAACAGTTTTGAAATTAACATAAGCAAACAGATGAAGTCCAAAACAGTAAATTGTTTTGTACATGAGCAGAATGTTTTCAGATAAGCACATGTAGCACTGGCATTACATCACAGGTTATCTAACTCACCTGTGAGTTCTGCTTAAGCTCTCACACATCACATCTAAAGAGGGGTGACTTTCATATTGCCACAGTTTACATACATTTTCATAGCAGATATATATGCATTCACATAATAATATCCCTGCACTGTATTGTTTTTTCACTGCAATCTTTCTCATAGACATCTGTTGCTACACTGACAGAAAAACAAGATTTCAAAGTTTTTCCATTCACAAAGACAGGCCAGGAAGTCACAACTCTTTCATCTCTATCCCTGTCAGAACAGATCCACACATTGTGATTCTGATCATACAGTAACTGATTCTGTGATTCAAGAACTGCCCCCTACTGATCAAATTTCACCTTTCACTTCAGAAGGATTATACTGAAATGGAATTATATAATGCCTGGCTCCTTACTTGACAGTAATCTGTGCTTAAAATTAAAAAGAAAATGCAAGAGAATAAAAATTGTGAAAAGATTCCTTTGATAACAGCATTAAAGAAAAGCAACTTACATTTTCCAGCTTATTGTGGCATAGAGGATAACCACACAGTTTGATGATAGATCGCTCATCAACAACATCTTTATAGTGAGATGGAGTAATACATTTTCCCTAAATAGACAAGAAAATAGTTCAACAACAGACACTGGAAAACTTGCCATTTTTGTCTCAAAACATCTCCTAAGCATATACATATCTAAAATTTTATAACAGTTATCCATTAAGTTTAATAAACAACACAGTGGAAAAGGTAAAAGGGTAAGGAGAGAAGGAAAAGAGACCTGGGCATTTCTATTTTACATATACAAAATCCTTCACAGCTTTGCCTCTAGTGTGGCACCTATTTCTGTCATTTTCCTCTATTTACATGTTTGGTACACCTATTAATCAGCCTATTTACAATCTTAACAAAAATAATCATCATACCATTTCAGCAAAACTCTGCTGCCAGATAACTGTGGTGCTTTAGAGACTTTGTGTACATTTACTGATGCTATGATGTGAACCTAAATTTTTACAGCTCATCTGTCAGTCCAGAACCACAGAGGTATAAACAAAGACTGTGAGAAAAAAATTGAGGATTCATTAATGTACACAGTCCTGCAAAACTAGGGCATGTTTTCACTACAGAACCCTTAAAAATATGGAAACTGTTACCAGAGCTGGTAAAAGACAGAATCAATGGTTTGGCTATTTTAAACCGCAGCAAATTGTTCCAAAAACTTTTTAATAAAGTACCACAACAAGATACAAAACAGCATACAAACTTGCAACACCTACACAATTTAGAAGGAACTCTTCAGTAATGTCCTCTTCCAGGAGCTGCTCAACAATAGACAATGCTTTTTTCTCACACTCAATCTTGTGTCTCAGTGCAGCCTCCAGAGCTGCTTTCCTGTAACAAAACAGACACGGAATGATACAGAGGGCAGATTTCCATAAACAATTTTCTATCATATTTTTATCTTTTTTTCTGAAATACAGCTTATATTTTTCTGTATCACACCATGTTGGCCAAACAAGCAACAAGTAACTGGACTAGTAATTCTGTTACAACTACAAAGGGTTATATATTTTATATTGGTTTGTTTTATTTGCTGGTCAAGCATAGTATTGACTCTTACTATATTGCAATACATTCCCAAATTTTCTTGCAAGAGGGAAATCCAGAACTGGCTGGACAAAGAACTTGGGACAATTTATGGAGTGTTGTCAGGAAAACAGGAACTGGGTAAGGCATGAAGAATGGGAAGAAAAAAAGAACTAGGACATGACTGAGTGTGAGGTTACAAAGTAAAGGTAGGAATAAAATTAACAAATAACTCCTCCCGAGTGTTTTATGATGTAAATAATTATAAATGGCAGGTATGTAAAGAAGTTAAGACAGCAAAAAGCAAGCAATACAGTTTTGGACATCAGATTACAAACTTTTAGTTTATTACACAATGCTTAGATGTGCATGCTGTTAGAAGCTACACAGCATCACTCCAAACGTGTCCTACATGATGTAGATGCTGGTGATTTACTGAAGTTCATTGTGGTACTCTGAGAAAGCAAAGCCTCTGCAGCACAGAGACTGTAATTCCAAAGTGAGGTAAAACAACACAAATATCACACTGTTCCTCAGAAATTATACCTTTGAGCAGCATCTTCATTTTTCTGAGCAGCTGAATGCTTATTTCCTAGAAATCAAATATACAAATTAGTGTACTTTCTTAACAGTGGAAGATGTTGGAACATGAAAAATATTAAAACCTCTAAACTGTAAGCACAACCAAGATAATTTCTTAGTAATTATTATTGCTTTTGATGGCCGTGATTTCAGTAAGCTGGTATGCAGCAACCATTTAGATACACTTTTTAAAGTGTGAAAAGAGACAGGGCCAACTTGTATCATACTCTCATTCACCACGTTCTGTATACAAAAAAAAAGGGAAAAAATTCTGAAAACAGTTATGCGCCCGCCACCCCGCCCGGTGTCTCTTTACCCCGCTGGTAAAGCCCAGTTTTACTCCGGCCGTCCCCAGAGCTGCCCCACCGCAGGGCTTTGCTCCGGGCCAGCTCCACAGCCGGCACCTGACACGGAGCCGCTATTGCCGCTCTCGGAGCCGCCCAGGACGGCCCCTGACCCAGCTCCCGAGCCGGCTGTCCCGGGCAGCTGCTCCCCCACGACAAGGGCAACAGCAGGGGAGACAGCGTGCTGTTACCCTGGGAAGGAGGCAGCGCTCCGAGCAGGGCTCAGCGCTGTGACCTCTCAGCTGCACGGCCGCCGTCACAGCCTGGCCCTGCCGCTCCGAGCGGGCCGGGACGGGCCGGCCCCTCACGGCCTGAGGGGACCAAGGGTCCCGGCCTCGCCTCGTCCGGCCCGTCCCTCATCATGGCCCCGCACTCGGCCCGGCACAGGCCCACAGAACCGACTTCGGGCGGCCCGCCGCTCCCCTCGACATGGCGACTTGGGCGAGTCCGCCGCTGTGCCGGTCTGGGAGCACAGGAAGAGCCCAAAGCGCCAGACGGGGGGAGCGGGGGCTGCCGCGCGATCCCGGCGCCCACCTGCGCGCCGCCGACGGGGCTTGCCCGTCCCGGCCGCCATCATCGCCATCAGTGCCGCTCCGCCCGCCGACCTCTCACCCGGGGCGGAGCCGGGAGAGGCGGCAGCGCGGAGCTGAGGGGTTCCTCTGGCAGGGACTGAGGTGAGGTGAGGTCAGGTGGTGTCGCTCTCGGTGCCGGAGAGGCGGCAGCGCGGAGCTGAGGGGTTCCTCTGGCAGGGGCTGAGGTGAGGCGGTGCGGTGCCGTGCCGTGCCCTTGTGGCTTTTCATTTGGCCGTGTGTTTACAGGCTGAGGCTGGCAGCCTTTTCGTCCCAGCCTGGGTGTTTTGCTGCCCAGAGCAAGGGTCGAGATATCTGTTTATTAGGAGGGAGTTTGGTGAGTATTAATAGAACGTTTCACGTGATTCAGATGCTGTCCACTTGCCGCTGAAACCTCCTAAAAGATTCAGCTGGAAACCGGATTAAGTATTAAGGCCGGAGACCATCTGCGAGCCCTGTCAGTAAATCCCTGCAGCACGGTGGGTGTTTGGGGCGCCTTTCCAGGCTGTAAGTACATTGTGAAGTTCCTGAGGGCTGAAAATGCAACAGTACTGGCGGTTGAAAGTATGTTAAATTATTTTGGTGGGATTAGTAACATTCTGTAAAATGAAAAGATTAAATAGTACAACGTGTGGTAAGAAAGTATGTGGTAATGATCTGGGTAAAATGACGGGCTAGAAAGGATAGGTTTCAGTGACATACAGATGTCAGAATGAGCCATGAAGAATAGAAAGTAAGTTGTTTATTCTTTGAATAAGAAAGTCACACACAGATGCCTTTTAAGCTTTTGTGAGTTGTCCCCTTTTATGAGCATCTAGATAGGTTCTTTATCTGTGTATTTTTTCATGTAAGTGTGCTCTTGTTCGGCCAGCATCAGCCCACCACATTCAGGCAAACATAAGAAGAAAGGCTCAGGACATTGCATGGAGACACCTGTGTTTTGATGAATAGTTACCTAATTAACCAAATGTAGGGATAATTGGCAGTCATAGCAATCATATAACCAGGTTTACGCCCATGGCATTACTTAAAACCATAAAGATTATGACTGCTGCTATGATATATCACGTAGGATAACCAGGCTTGATTGCATTTGTAATTCATGGTCCTGGCTACTTAAAACTTGGTATGTACTTGACATTATTCAAGTGTTATAACTTTATTGTTTTTAGCAAGACAGTTTTAATTGTTAATACCTAGAGGTATAAAGCCACTGAACTAGTCCAACCTAGACACTAGAAAAAATAAATGAAACTACACATGTAATCTTCACTGGACTGTTGCTATAAACTGGCATGGTGTTTGGATCAGTGCCTTCACATTGCAGATATTGGGTTAGTGTGTCCCAGTCAGGGCTGAGCAGAAGCTCCTCTGGTCAGAGTAGTCACAGAAAATGTAGTGTGTCATGGGTGTGCACAGTTGGTATGCAGTGAGCCCAAACTTGCTCTGTGTTAGCTCAGTTTTCCATGTATGTGCCACTGAAACCTTCACACTTCTTAAGATGACCCAGATAGTACTTGAAAAATTGTTTCCCTTTACATAGAATGCAGGTTGTTTCCTGTCTGTAATTCTGTCCCCTGCAAATATGGGGAGTAGAATAATATAACATATACTTTGTAAAAAATGAGTTTTCCCTTATTCTAATTATTTAGTCTTAATATTTGTCTAGGTTGTTCTTATTCCTCCATTAACATTTTTCTTGGTAATGTGATTATTTTTCAGCCTCTGTTTTAAGTTCGTGTGATATAATACTGCCCTCTTTAATTTAAAATAAATTTTCATGCCAGAAGAACACAGTCAAACTGTAATGGCAGTTGATGAACTTCAAGCTATAATACAAAGATGTGTAAGTAGTTTTCTTTCCTTAGAAGTAACAAGTGTCAGTAGTGTGATTTCTTTTCATATATTAGAATTAAAGCCAAAATGACCTCAAAAGACAAGTCAATTGTTGGTAGAACTCTTCATGGGGCAGCTGAGTTCAGCCTCCATATTTCATTGACTTCTCTGTGGTGCTTATCCCAAGAAGCTTGATTATTTCTGCTTCTTGGAGATGCAAGTAGTGTTGTACCTAGGAACAAAAGCTGGTAGTTGTAGAAGACACATCTTCCAAAGAGAATGCTGTAGTCTAGACTTAGTGCTATTGAAATACTGCCTTGTCTTGTGTAGTAACTTGGTAGCTTTTTTAAGATGTGGAAAATGTATAAAAGTTGCAATGATACTACATTTAATTTTGAAATGAAAGCATGGATTTTCTTACTTCTTAATTGACTTTGATAAGTATGGAGTTAAACATTCATATTTTCTTTCTAGCAAATTCTGGAAGAAGCTGATTTCAAAGGAGAAGATTTTAATCTGTTTCAGGTAGCAGGTCAGAAGTGTTTGGAAGATGGATATGCAGCTCAGTTATTAGAAGTAATTCAAAATGAGAAAAACAAGGTGAGTTGAAGTTTGCACTACATATTAGTGTTTATTAACATCATTAATATAAAACTGCTTATTAAGAGGGAAGAGCTACTTTCTCTGTGGAGCAAGGCTGTACATATGAATAGCTAATGGGTTGCTCTGTGTTAAGTGCACATAATTCTGTATTCAGGTAGCTCACAGAAACCCAAGTCATGATGAGAAACCCAACCCAATCTTAACAAAGCCATCAATAACTCTTCTGTGAGTGAAGCAGAGAGAAAAGGCAGCAGAAAAGCATCATGAAGAGAAACAGGCAGTGTCCCTCTTCCACAGGACAGGGATTTCAGGTGGTGTGCTGGGTCTGGCTGCCATGGAGTTGGCTTTCTTCATGGCAGCCTGCACAGTGCTGTGTTTTGGATTTGTGACCAAAAAGGTGCTGATAATACACCAGTGTTTCAACTACTGCTGATCAGTGCTTGTGCAGCATCAAGGCCTTCTCCCTTTCTCACTCTGCCCCCAGTGAGCAGGGAATTTGGGAGGAGGCACAGCTGGACAGCTGTCCCAAAGCAGTGAGATACTCCAAACCATACAACACCGTGCAGAGCTGTAAAGATGTGTGGGTGGGGACCCATTCCAAAGCAGCTGTTGTTTGGAGGCTGGCTGGGCATTGGTCTCCTCGTGGGAGATGATTTGCATCATTGCCCATCAGGCTCTGCTGTCTATTCTCATTCACTTATTACACTGGCCTTATCTCATCTTTGGAGTTCCTCTGTTTTGCTCTTTTGACTCTGGCCCCGATCCCACTGAGGGACAAGAGCAAGCCAGCAGCTGAGGGGTGCTGCATTGCTGCTGGGGGTCAGCCTACCACAAATGGATATAACAATACTGGCCAATTACAGGAGCCAGCTAGGCTGATGCTAATTTGAAATACTAATGTCTGTGGGCACTAGGGATGCTGAGACAATATACCAAATTGAGCAGAGATAAATAGGAAGTTCAGAAAGAAAGTGAAGGGTAGAATATTTTAGCAATGTTACGTGGAGTTCATAATCTATTACAGAGGGTTCACAATCTGGTTTTGAATTTTGTGAGTTTGGAGTAACAACTGAAAGTCTCAATCCCCTCATGAATAATTTGTCCAAGTGTTCTTTTAGCACAACTCTTCTGCTCAGTCCATTTTAAGTATATTGTCATGGACACGTAGAAGTATTGACATGTCAATAATTAGAAGAAAACTATGCAAAATTTGTGCTTATAGGTATGGGCAGAGGACACAATGTGTGTCAAATTATGTCAAATATTCAATGACAGTGATAGTTACAACCAGGACATTGATCTGTTGTTGCTTTTGTATTTATATATATATATATTACTTTTATTTTTATAATATTACTTATATTTTTTATATTAATTATATTTTTATAATATTACTTATATTTTTATAATAAAAATATATTACTTATATTTTTATAATTTTATAATTACTATTATATATATTTATATACTTTTTATGTATACAATCTTTCTGGGTTTAAAAGACATCTAGTTTTGGCTTATTCTCTGAATATCTGGTTTTTAGGTTATCATCAAGAATATGGGTTGGAATCTCATTTCTCCTCTTGTTAGATGTATTTTTATGTATAAACAAGAAGATGAAAAGCGAGAACACTGCCTGAGGATACTAGATCAGTTGGCACAGGTATGGTTTTGAAACACATGATTATGATACAACAATGTTAGGGAAGTTCTGCACAAAAAGGAGTTCAAGATCATTAATCCATGAAGCTAATACACCAAAGGCCAATTACACAAACATGTTTATACAATTTGATTCTGACAATATTTGCATAATGAATCTACATCACTACTTGGGTAAGCTGCTTTTAGTTTAACGTTCCCTCGCCTCAGTTTGAAGGTACAGAGATTTCTGAATTCATGGTGTATGTTCAGTGGGTAGGGCTCTTTGTTTGGAAGTGGTAGGCTCAGCATCAGAGTGTGGTTTTCACATGAAAATGAGCTGAGTTGATCTGAAGGACACAATCTTACCTGATTTAGCTAGCTTGAGTAAAACTTACAGTACATTGCTAAATGTCTTTTCTAGTATCTAATTCAAGGTCTCTCCCTTCATGTTCTCTCTTTAGTTGTTTCAAAACTGTGCTGCAGGACCTTGCCATGTTCCACTTATCTCTGCCTGAATAGTATTTATTGTTCTCTATTCTATGATTCACTCAGAAAAGTCTTTTCCTTAAGTCCTTCACCCTTCCTCAATAAGAGAATCATTACCTGATGATTCTGATGGAGTAGGAGCAGAAAAATGTTTTAACCTGTAAAAGACTCATTCTCTTTCATTTATGCACTCCAAAAGCAACTTGCAAACTTTATAGCTTGAGTTAAATTCACACTCAAGTTCTACTTCTCTCTCTGCTCTGAATAATTACTTTGCAAAGGTACTCTGAGGTTTTTACAGCCCATTCAAATCAGGTTTAGTGTCAGTTTTTACTATTATATGTTTTCGGCCCATATGGAAGTGTGACACAGGTATGCTCTACAGTAGATGTTAATTGTACTTGTAAATGTACTTAGTGTTTCATATTTGTTTTTTAAAATCTTATCTTGGATGTTCAGATCTTCTCTCTTGACATTCAGGAACTTTGGTATTCCATGTGATTTTTTTT